CGACGACGACTACTACTACTACACCACTACGACTGCGACGACCACTGCCACTACCGCTACCACTACCGCAACCGTGACCACGACCACGACCACGACGACTGCTACCACCACGACGACCACGACGACGACGACTACTACTGCACTAGTACTAGTACTAGTACTAATACTAGTAGTAGTAGTAGTAGTAGTAGTAGTAGTACTGCTACTACTACTACTACTACTACTACTACTACTACTGCTGCTACTTCTACTCTACTACGACTACGACGACCACTACCACTACTGCTACCACTACCGCGACCGTAATCACGGCCGCGACCACGACCACGACCACGACCAAGACCAAGACCACGACTACTACACCCATCACCAGCAACACGATGACGACACTACTACTGCTACTCCTATCCTACTCCTACACTCCTACTCCTACTCGTATTCTCCTTGTTGCTACCGGCCCTGTGACTGCTGCTCTCGGACTGCGGCTATGTCGAAAGGATGTCGACGTCAACTAGTTGTTCTGCTACTCGTGGCATCAGGGCCGAATGCCGCAGCTCCCAGAACGGTTGCAGAACCTTCTGTGTTCTTTGTTGAAGAGTTCAAAGTGGGAACTCTATCAGTTGCCTTGACACAAGATGGGAACAGACACGACGTTCAGAGTAGTCATGGGAGAGACGGCATATACGTATCGCAGTCAGGTTGCCCCTGAGCCCTTCATCGCACCTCTGCTGCTTGCAGCTGTCGGCCCCGTGACGGAGCCGCCCGGTCTTGAATTGGGTGGCTGGGGTCAAGAGCGAGATCCCTAAACCTCTGCCGATACTCTGCCGATGCGCGAGCGATTCTCTCGGTCGGCGTGGAGGCCTTCCTGACTTTCGCAAGGATTGGACAAAGGCTTCGACTTCCTTGACTGGGGAAGGGCCGTTGAATGATGAAAGGGGTGTAGCGGTGTAATTGGAACAAGAACCAGGTCTGAGGAAGCGCAGGAGGAAAGGAATGAAAAGAGCAACGAGGACGGCAAAGGTGTCTCCGTTTATGACATAGCCGGGGATTTGCCAAGAAGCAGCCTGATCTGCATCAACGTCTACAGCGAGCGTGCATCTTTCTGACTCCCCCCAGTGGCAGGACCTAACTCCCCAGATCTTGGGACTTTAAGATGGAACAGTTTGAAAGCAGAGCAAGCAAAGGTTGGAGATGCTGGTTGGACCGAACGGCACAGATCATCCGAAGGTGCGACTTAGACTTAGCTGATGTCAGGATGACGGAGTCAAGTCAACGGTATTCAGCATCAGCGGTTCTGTCGCTGGTTTTCGCAGGTACAACTGCTGTTTGCGGTGCTTCAGGTCCTGCTTGCTGCTGTAGGACTGTAGGAGCTTCATTGAGACAGAGACGCCCAGCCATATCCAGCCATGGCGGGCGTGCAAATCGCCTACCGCTTCACGTTCATTGACCTGGAGGATGGCAAGGCGGATGGTGCAGGTCGTACCCAGGCCCGGAGCCTTTCCCGGCTCCGGACATCTGCAAACTCGGACACTCTTGTCGTGGATACATGGGCGCAACGCCATCTTCGCACTCTCCGACAGGGGCAGGATGCAAGAGTTTTCGATGCACTTGCACCAAACCGGGGCAGTGTGGGCCACCCAATGTTGTGTAGCCGCCCATGCATCTACTTTGCAAAGCAAGGGCAGTGCCCTCGTGGTGACGCCTGTGGCTTCTGCCACCATCACCACTCGGCGACACCTAAGCCTGACAAGCATCAGCGTGAGCTGATGAGCATGATGCCGAGGGCGCAGCTTGTGTCCCTGCTAGCAGAGCTACTTCGAGAGCGTGCCGACCAAGAGGGACTCCAGGGTGCCGGCTTCGTTGTGGCTGCCCCTCGGTTCTGTTGTCGTGTGCCAGAGTCGTGATACTTCCAACTTGCCCATCTGTTTCAGCTCTCTGAGTCGAGGTGGTGGCGGTCCACGCAGGACTGCCATGTGCCTTACAGGCTCTCTCGAAGCGAGAGCTTCGAAAGCTTCACCAGCTTCGCCAGGTGCCCTTTGCAGAGTTTCTTGAGCAGCGAACAGCTCGAGTGCAGATCCAAGAACTGGAAGCCTCAATGCCAGGTTGTTGGGGCCATGAACTTCTCCACGATGCTGTCGCTGGCTGCACGCTACTGTGAGGGGCGTAGCAGGGCTGTCATATTGCAGGAGCTCAGAGCCCTGCGGAACAGCGCGCAGTGAAAACAAGATTCCTCCGGCATGCCGGCTGCACCCAGCCTTGAATGTCAGTTAACTACCATGCATCCGCAGTGTGAGTAGCTGTGCAGCTTCAATCCTTGCACTCTTTCGCGCATCGGCGGGAATCAGCACCGCCACCCTAATTTTAACGCTTGGGTGAGGGTGAAGTCGGCGCGGCCCAGCAGACAAAGCTCAGACCGAGCTCCTCGCTTTTGGAAGCACCCCCTCCAGTCGTGCAGTAAGGAAATGCCACTCGTATTGATCTGTGATCTGGAGTGAAGACCTCGTGACTCTTAGACACGTGTGTATTCGCCCGTGCAGGGCCGGGGGTGCTTCTTGCGCTCGGCCACAAAATTGGCAGCTATCCAACTCCCGTTAGGTTGGTCCCAGTCTTGGTTGAGACAGGAGGCACACGGGTTGGTTCTTTGCCAAGTGCCACGTGTCAATGCCAAGCGCTGGCTTTCTTCATTCTGATTTAGCTCGTAAGGGCCGGAAATTTGGAAATTTCAGCAACTTCTTGATCCCGGTGTGACATGGCGTTTGTGTACACAGCGACATGCTCCGCCTGGACACCCAACGAGCTCGAGGGCTTTGGAAGACTCGAGCGGAGAGGCCGCTACTGCGGCCGGGTCTTCGCAGCAACAAATCCAAGTTCATGGCGCCGCACTGACAGTGCTCGGGAGCGTCTTTTTTTGTGAGGTCTTTCAGTAGACACTCACTTCAATAAACGAACTTCCACAGATGTCGGGCAGGAGGTCCTGAGTTGGAGCTGGTGAACACTGGAGACCAGCTCAGCCGTTCCAGCAGTTCATCGCCCTTAAACCTAAAGTTGAGGCTCTCTAGCGCCGCAAATTCCTGCGAGCCCTGTGTGCACATCAGCTGTACAGCAACCACACCAAACAAGATCTAGTCCTAGCAGCTCTAAATCTGAAGTTTATGTCTTGACGACGCTGAATACTCAGGTAATCGCATGAATCGCGATAGGAAGGCCAAGAACGAGTTGTACCATACAGCAGGAAGAGCCACAACAACCACAAAGCCCTCTCATCAAGATGGCGGCGATCATGATTGTGATGATTGTGGTGACGGTGATGGCCACTTGGACGATGTGTGCGGCGGCCTCGTCGGCTCTGCTGGTGACTGCAATGTCGCTGGCACTGATGGTGGCGATGAGGATGGGGTTTTGCTGCTAATGCAAATCTTGCAATGATACTGTAGCAGTAGTACGGCCAGTACGAGCACAGCTACCTGCAACAGTGTAGTACTGTACCATTTACTAGTGGCAGCATGAACAATCATAGTAGCAATATAGATGATGGTAGTACTTGTTGTCGCAGTTACCAAAGATGCCGTTGACAAGAGAACTCCGAAGGACTATGCTGCGAAACAGCAAAGCAGCGCTGACAGCCGAAGCAGTACAGATGGCGATGACTCGAACCTCATCAGCAGTCCAACCACCCACAGGACACGCGGGAGTAGCATGAGCAAGACAGCATCTTGTCTTCCCAATGCGAACCCTGAGTGGCCATCCACAGAATCGCAGATCTAGCTTGCTTTGTGTTGGAGGCTTGAATTGTCACAGGGCGTTTACACAAAGGGCCTGGAAGAGGCAGCTCGAGCACAGGATCCCCTGACCTTGTCTACCTTTTTGCTCGGGCGGGAGGCTTTCAGGTTTTTGGAGAGCTTTGGACATATCTCCGCAGCCGGAGGAGAACGATGGATACTGTACCGCGGGGTTTTGAGTCGGCGTCTGTCTAGACGAGAGATTCCTCCCAAGCAAAGACTACATGGTAGAACTCGCGAAGTATCGGAAATCGACTTCGCCTTTCTTCGAGCTGGACGGAAGTAATTCTCTTCTGGTAAGGCGCTGAGACACGGGAATAAGACAACTCTTTCTTTACGGAACAGTCCAGTCCTCTCTGTCAGCACGGAGGATTGGATCAGCTCGGAGGCTGCTGCACCGTTTGACAGCATCGGTTGCGCACCGAATGCGCTCCTTGTGTGATGGAGTTCTGTGACATGCTATCTCCGATGTCACGAGCCCCTCGCACCAATGTGTCTCTGCAGAGCAGGTGATGAGACTGAGCTTCTGAGCTGCTACGAGAGATCGCTGGCTTGTCGCTCCCAGTCGAATTCATTGGCAGAGGTTTGGCTGCATGTGCTGCCCTGGTTGTAGTGTTTGAATTGCCATGGGGCTTCGAGATCGCCTTCGCATTTCATTCTGCACAGCTGCAGCGCTTGAAAGAGGCAGCTCGAGCTCAGCGTCACATGACCTTGCCTGTCGTTTTGCTCTGTATCCGGAGAGTTCGGGGTGAGGCTTTGTGGTGTGTGGGGCTTTGGATATTTATCCCGATCCGAAAGATAATAATGGATATGGCGCGATTTTTTGGTCGCGGCATCTGCCTAGATAAGAGCTTCGCCCCGCCGACTCTCTCTGCGCAAAGACTGCATGGCAGAATTGGCGAAGACGAAGAGAAAAGGCTGCACGCAATCTTCAGGCGAGCACGGCCACGCCGGCTCATGCCAACCGATGAAACCTTTGTAAGTCTGTGCTTGTCACAGGAAGCAACCACGGTGCTGCAGCTTCGCAGTAGTATGGCGGGTGGGCAGGACAGCAGGAAAAGCTTGTGCAAAGCTCATGTCTGGGGTGTCCGGTCTTGCGAATTCCATGAAATACTTCTGCATCACAGGAGCTCCTCCTCATTGGTGCGGGCTTCGGCCATGCAAAAGAGGCTGCATCAAGCAATTTGTGCAGAGAATTTGGCAGGCCAACTCGCCCTTACTGCTACTTCTTGGTAGGACAGGTAATTCTGTCATTGAGTGCTTTACAGTTGCATGAACAACGCAGTGGGTCATGCATTGGACCTCCGGGCCCATGGGTGGAATCCAAGGCTAGGCTCTTGGTGTTCGCGTTGGAGCATCCTACACCAAGCGCATGTTTCACGGATTTTACAGTACTAGAGCGAGTCACGTTTCACACCGAACCTGTCAACCAAGTGGGTCGTGGTTCTGACATGCCAAGAATTTTTTCCGAGATCCCCAACGCTTGATGCTGCAAGTGGCTGGCATGTTGCAGGCAACACAGGTGACGGTCTGCGGTGCTCCCTGCGATTCTGGGCTGCTCTTGAATTTAGCCAAGCTCATCGTAAGGCTGCGTTCTTTGCTACTGTAGCAGTGATCTCAAGTTTGGTAGGTAGGCAAGCAGGCAGCACGTAGGCCGGTAGGTAGATTTGTGGGTGATTGTGGGTGGGTCGGTAGGTTGGCAGGTTGGCAGGTAGGCAGGTAGGTAGGTGGAGTTTGCATGTATGTGTATGTAGGTATTTATCCTTACTCTGGTACCGCCAAATGATTACTTGTTCGCTGTATGATATGACTTCGTTCTGGGCACGACTCCGTGGTATTGTTGCCAGTAGCTGTTTCTGTATTGTTCAGTACAGCATTCTTGTAATAGTGTTTCATATTTGCAGTTTTCTTTCGTTTGTTTGTTTATGGCGGTGTCATAATCAAAAGCTCTATAGGGCTGCATTCTCCCAACTGTGATGCTGCGCAAACACCTCAGGCCGTTCGCTTTGCACAACTTAATGCCGAGCTTGCAGCGCTACATGCACTGCGCCCCTTCAAGTTTGTATTGTTGCAACGGCGCTCTTAGTGATATTGCCATTGTGTCGCTCTTTCGAGTGGATTGTTGTCTCACTGGACCGTTCCATCATGCCGGTCTCCTGTCTCCTTGCATATACGTTGCATGGTCAAGTTCGTGAGGACGGTGATGATACTCACAATCAAACTCAGAGTGTTAATTGATGAAATGCTGTGAACACGTTCTGGTAGCCTTTGTAGTGTTGGCATTGCTAAGTTGCTGTCCGTATGCTCATCATCATGATTTCCATTCATCTTCGCATTCTGGTTGCAGAAAATGGTGTCTGCCCCATAGGGGTTTCGAGTGTGACTGAGTGCGTCGTTTGACACGCTTCTGCAGAGGAAGTCCTGCACTCCAACCACTCGGAGGTCAGGTGTGCCTTGGCGTAGGTTCAGGATTTAGCCTCCTGCAAAACGACTCCGGAAGATTTCTCGATTCTGGGTGTTTGCCGAACGAGAAGCATCCAAAGGGCATTTGTTCAAGAACATCGCTGCAGATATGCACGCTCCGACGACCAAGTCCGAAACCCTCTAGCGGGGAACAGCAGAGCAACACAGAAATCACAGAAAAGCCTGGACGGTGCACCCTTCAAACTCAGACTTTTTCGCATGAAAGCCACCACCGGGAACCACGGAGCCAATGGAAGTCGGACATCTCCGAGGCCGAACACCCTTGCTGCTGACTGACGTCCATGAAGTGCTTGAAGAGCTTCCACTTCAGGACACCGGGCAGACGAACTTGCTTTGGGGCGGGTGCTTCGAGAATAGAGGGCAAACTTCACCAAAACCAGCCAGAATTTGCATGGAGCCTGTTCCAGGATCTCCGGCCCTACTTCGGACTGCAATTGGGCGTGTCTGGTTGGCCTTTCAGGCCGGACAGATCGTCTCCGAATCGTCTCCGATCTTGCCCCAGATGGTCCTGCCTAAAGAGTGTTGACCCCCGCTCGTGAAGAGCGCATATAGTGCATACAGAAAGGGTCTAGGGATGGAACCGTCATGAGAAGTTTGCGCGTGACCAGCGGAGTTGCTCCGTTCCAGTTGAGGACCACTCCGCTGGAGTTTAGTCGGACCAGGTTTCTTGTGGTTGCGAAATTCAGAAACCCACTGCCCTGCAGCAATGCAGGCCGGAGGAGCTGCGTCGGGCCGTGGACTCCTGGCCAAAGTTCCGAGTAAGCTCAAGACAGATAGTGGTGATGGCTTTTGTGGGCCGTTTCTCCTGCTCGGTATTCTACTATACTATACATATTATAGTGCTCCCTGACAGACCTCGTAGCAAAACCGACTTAAGGCATGCCGGCTTTACTGTTGCCTGACTTCCTGCATCTAGCTGCAAGAACTTTCGCAGCAATTGTGTTGTTTTGCCTTGG